AGAGCTTGGTTCTTCAGAGGACTATATCTCAGATGCGTTATTAGCTTCCAGATCAGATACATATCTCATAATAGAATCCACAGGAGCATTGCAACTGCAATATCCAGCATCCTTGGATCTTACTGATCGTGATCAGATACAGAGGCATACTTGCTTCTTCAATATGCTTTGTTTGCTTTCAGATCAGATGCACTTCTCAGAGCAGAATCCACAGGAGCATTGCAATAGCAATATATAATATCCTTGGATCTTTCTAATCGTGATCAGATACAGACGCAAACTTGCTTCTTCAATAAGCGCTTTATGACACGTCACACATAGTAATTCTCATATTGTATTAAATGCACATCTTTATATTGTTTGTTTAATCTGATATCTTTAATTAGCGTGATCTGCACACAACAAACATTAGAACATAAAATGGTTCTTTCATAAATACTTAATTGTTATCGTCAAAACATAGAGATAACTTGCAGAAACAATTCTTGTTCTTACAGTGTCATCATGAACCCTAATGCAACAACTGCATACCGTCAAAACACCATGATCAATAATTCAGTATAATTGATCGACATGCCATTGCTTTATCATACTAACGTCAGATTTCCGAAGCAAATGAATATGGATCGCTCAAAAGAATAACAATCATTACATGATTGAATGAACAGAATAGAAACACTGTATCCAATATACCATCTTTGCACCAGAGTTACTTATATCACATACAAAATTTGATTGATCATATTTGTGTAACTTAAGAACGATTGATGTATCGCTACTTCACCATACTAATGTCGGATTCTAAAGTATAACCAACATCGATCATCCAAATTGTACACAGCATGATGCCAAAATTCAATTACTTGATTATAATTTAATTTATTATGAGTTTTAAGCGAATTAAAATAGAAAGTACATAAAATAAACAACTATAGATGCATGATTTTGTAAGTGGCTCTGATACCACTTAAGCGAAAACGTGATCCAAATGTAGCGGAAATTAAAATTTTCTCTTTAGTGATCCTTACGAATGGGCATGATCAGTGATAGAAATGGTTACCTCTTGTGGCAATAGACCATTTAATGTTGAATCAAAAGAGTGATCATGAGCGTTGAATGATGAACAATGCCTCTACTTAGTCCACATGAACAGATTCCTTTAGTCTCAGTGCTAGCTGCTACGATTGAAGGATTTGAGTGTGTGTGTGTGTGTGTGTGTGTGTGTGTGAGAGAGAGAGAGAGAGAGAGAGAGAGAGAGAGAGAGAGAGAGAGAGAGAGAGAAGAAAAATACGGTTAGGGCTTCATAGACCAAGTTTTGGTCAAGTATGAATGCTTATGCACAAGGGTTCTATTTATAGAACCACTTGTGTGGACTACAAGCTAAAAAAACCCACTTAAGTTGACGCGCACCATATCTTATGGTGTGTTGTATATCACTTAAGCACATGGTACCTTACCACATTCGGTATTCTACTTAAGTGCACCGTACCTTATGGTGTTCTATATTTACTTAAGTGCATTATATCTTACGGTATTCCTTATTTACTCTACCTCTTATCAATCTGTCCTTATGTGTGTTACCTTATAGATTTTCACAACATTGGCAATTATATCAAATCACGCATTTAGCCTAATAAACAATGAGCGGTATCTAACAACACATCACTACTATTCAAGTCACGAAAATGTCATGTGATCTGACAAAACCTCTTGTGATAATACTTGTGTGTACAATTACCTTTTTTCTCTCGTGTCTATATTGAACACAAGACATATATCGTGTCATCTTTTTCCAGTTCAATATTGGACCCTTAGACATTTATCCTGTTATGCGGGATGGGCAAATTCCATCTAGGTCACTCATGTCTCTCAACATGCTTTGTGGAGTACCCATCAATTGTCTTTATGGTCATCCAGTTACGGATAATGTTAGATCAACAATAAAATATTCGACTCTTCATTTAGAGTCCATATTACTTTCAGATCGAAGGATGGTATACACTACTATCACCATAAGAGTAACTTATGACACTTTGCATAACATTTTATGTAGTACTCTCATAGTAGTTCAATCCGGTATAAATATTACTCCTAATATTCATACATATTTTAAGAATTAATAACTCCTTATCCATTATCCATGAGATATGATCATCAGTCTATCCACATAATACTCTTAATACTTTAAGGTTATCCCACTTCATAGTAAAACTCGACTACGGATACGTTAAAAATAATGTCCTTATATTTAATGGAATCTTATGACTAAGTCACTTAATATTTCATTAAATGGACTAGGTATTCTAGGGACTTTATTATTTTATAAAAACAAACATAATAAAAAAATATATTTTATTATTAATAAATAATTCGACACAAGTACCAAAAGTATTGGCCTATCGGGCTTACACCAACAAATACATTCAAGGCACTAGCTAAATTCAAAGAAAAATGTTTTAGGATGAGTTGACTCTAAACACGGGTGAGTCAACTCATTCACTCAATGTGTCGATCCATTTTTTGATTTTATTGACCCGTTAGAGGTAGTGACAAATCTTAAAAAGAATCTTTTAGATTGAGTCGACCCAAACAAGAATGAGTTGACTCATTCGCATAATGTATCGACTCATACGAGGCAGAACCAAATTCATTTAAATTTCACTCAGTATGTATCGACCCATGCATGATTTTCATGTGAATACTTATATTTTGACATGTGATGACTTATGTAATCTAATCTTACATGTTCTTTGATGATGATGCACATTTAGGCAAAGATTATAAGGTACAAATACAAAAATATTTATGCTACTTAATTTTGACATCATTCAAAATACATTTAAGAGCATATTGCACTCATATTTTTGGATTTAGAGATAGTTGTACAAACTTTTCTAAATTGATGTTGTTTGATGTTGATTATATGCTTAATTATGTGATAAATTTGGTTTTGCAATCCTATGTAAAAATTATGAGTTATGTGTTCTTGATGTTTTGCCTAAAAAATGATGTGCATGCTACTAGATTGATGATTAAATGATGTTAGAATCTATAATATATGTGTTGTATGTTGTTATAATTTTTATATAATTGTTGTATGTCGAATTCTGAGCATGTTGGCTTTTATGGAATCAAAATCGGAGGATTGGAAGTTCTCATATGGTGAAAAAACGTAAAATCAGCATTCAGCAGTGGTGACGGACGTCACCTTTGTGACTGTCCAACCATCATAGCGTCGAACGAGCTGACAGGGGTCAGCTGGGTGACGATCCAACCGTCACTAACTAGGTTGATTTTGTTTAGATATTGTTTTCATCATAACTTGAGTTTCATAACTCCAATTGGTGACGGACGTCACCTTTGTGACTGTCCAACCATCATAGCGTCGAACGAGCTGACAGGAGTCAGCTGGGTGACGATCCAACCGTCACTAACTAGGTTGATTTTGTTTAGATATTGTTTTCATCATAACTTGAGTTTCATAACTCCAATTGAGGTGCGGTTTGAAGCATTGAAAAGCTAACGCGTATTACTACCTCATGGTAAGATCCTAAGAGGTTAATAGTGTACGTGAGGACGTGATTATACTGTGTTACTTGTTGTGTAACATTAATTGATGGTTAATGATGTGATTTATTGAATTAATGATTACCCCATAAAAAAGGATAATGTATGATTATAGATGCAAAATCGTATAACCTTTATTTTTATGTTGATATTTAATAATTGATTATGTTTGAGATGTTCGGTTCAAAGATGGAACCGTTAGTGTGACCTTATATTGATATTAATTTTATTATGTTGAGTTTGGTTCAGAGATGAAACCGATGTTGGGTTTTGGAGAGGAGGTAGTGGTGATCCTTCATGTATTGTGTATGTAGCAATAATGCATCATGTAGAAAAGTGATAGGTGGGGCTTCGATCTGTTGACAAGTTCTAATTTAGAGATGTGACCAGAGATGAGTCATGACTCAGAGATCTATTCGCGTTTTAAGACAATTTGTTGTCAGCCTATGATCTTCCTCCTATGTGCTTCGGTCATGGCGTTTTTTTACTCTTCATGGCTCAAACATCTAAGCATTGGTGTTTTCGCCCCTTGTCTGTATAGTTTTTCTACAACTAACAAATATTTACCTAAAGCTCGTTTTACCTTGCTTACTTTCCTCAAACAATTCTGGAAATGTTTCTTCTATGTTGTCTTCTTCAATGCAATCCATCGCTGTCTTCCTCAAACAACTCTAGAAATGTTTCTTCTATGTGGTATTGTATAAGCAGGGTCATCAAGCTATTGTCACCGTTGTCTTTATGCTGGGAACCAGGATGGTCTCTACTCTCTTGTATGACCATTCTAATGTTGCCCCATTTCTTTGTGCTTGCCAATTTATATAACAAGTCTGTCCTGAAATTTTGGTCCTTTGGGACATAGTGAGTTCAAACAAACATAAAATTTTAAGCAAGAAATCTTACCCTGTGCAAGCATTTCATCCGTTGGTAGCAATGTTGATTTGGACAAAGTCTCAACTTACTTGAGATACCAATGTTCTTCAATTAGAGTCATCGTTAGAGTGATATGCATTACAATTTAACTCCAATTGATTCAGTTTTCAAAACATTGGTGTACCAGTATTATTTGATTTTAGTTTTTACCAGTATGTTATCTGGTTTGTCCATTTGCATATAACTTATTAATGACAGATACCTTTCCTAATTCAATCAAGAAACTATATTATTTCTTTGAACGCAAAACAGAAGGCAAGAGTGAAAGACATATTTGGACACTTTGTAAGGTAGACTCGGTATTTACACATTTGTATGATAACACTGCAACTAATACCAATGGCATGAGTCATAGACACATTGAATAATTTGTATCTTCAACACTTAAATGGATTACACCCTTGCATATTCATGGCAAACTAAGGGTATAATCCAATTCCAAAAAATTTACATACTTGTATAACCCAAAACATTGTGCACTTTACAGCCATATCAGAATAATATTACAAAACATCTGAATCACCTGACTCGCTATCGGTGTTTCCCTGCCTTCCTGTCCCCATCCTAAATTTGCACACAGGACATGTTCCTTGTTGTCGAAGCCATGGATCGATGCAGTTGGCATGAAACTGGATGGAAAGAAACAAGAAACAAGTAAGAATTTTAAACGAATGAGTTGCAATTGAAGTAAAGTGGCAGCAATCATGCTTTGATTCAAGAAAAACGATATCGGATTTTATTAAGTGAATCAAGTTTAGTTTCATAAGAGCTCCAAATATGAGTTCTCCAATCTTCGTCCAAAGGCTCCAAAGCAAAAATATTTATCAGCTTTTGGTTTAGACTAATTAAAAAATAAAGAAGCAGAAGCTGACCAGAATGAGCAATATTGACAGCATGATTTAAGAATTATGCAGAGCTATTCCCCCAATAATCAAAATGAAAAGAAAAAACAGAAGTTAACAACCCCTTATGCTTTAGCTCAATTAGTCAGGTGAATGGATTTGACTGAAATGTGGCGAGAAAACTAAGGAGTAGACAACTTTACATCTCTCGAGGTGGCATGGAGTTAACACAATACAAATCTGACATTTCCAGAAACAAGTACTAATCTCCATTCCTGCTAAATAATTTGTTTATAACAACAACAAAAAATTATAAAAGCAAGAGATAGGCTGCATTAAACCTGATGCAAGCACGGCAAGCTACGCACAAGTTCCCCCCTCGTAACTTGGTCCAAGCATATAGTACATATCAGCTCATCTTCTGAACCTTTGACACTTCTCTCTGCTCTTTTAGAGTCTTCTTTACTCTGATTAAAACATTTGAAAAAGAAATTAAAAACAACTCCTATTTCAGAAACAAAATTGTAGGAAAACATCACATAAATTACCAAAAGTGCATAAAGCTAACTACTGAAACATAAAACAAAAGATGTATTGACACTATTTCTACCAAAAAATGCCTCCATAACTCAAACAACCTAGTGAAACCACATAAACCTAAAGCGAAGATTGAGCTAACAGAGATATTTACCTCAGATGCCTCTGAAGAGGATGTTAAACCGGTGAAGCCATCTCTGTTAATATAAACAAATTATGTCAATTTATTTTTCCTGGCTTAGGTTTCTTTACAAAATGCATCGCAGAAAAAGAGAAAACAAATCCTGTTGACCATTTAACCTACTACTATAAGAACCTTACAAATATAGGCGACATTTTTTTCAAGAGCTATTATTAAATACTGCTCCTAATCAATGTCATAAGGGAAATTCGAATTTATTCATTTCTTAGGGACCTCCCAAATTGTCCATTTTGACCCTGGGCGAAAGGATCGCTCCAGACGCCTTTGGTTCGAAAGCATCCTTTCGGGGTGTATCAATATACCAACCTGCACCATTTCCCTTCCTCTATTCTATCAACTTTTTAAAAAAAATTAAAAAGCTTTCAAAAACCCCAGAATTACCAATCTCTCATTTTTCATCCAAATAAGTATTGAGACCTGCAACTTTATCCTAATCATCAAACAATTTACCAGGTATCTCACAATGTTTTTGTTATTTACATAGGTTGAGAATATAGAAAACCTTAGATTAGCTTCAATGTATATTTTCACGCTTCCGGAAGGTACCTTCCATAGCCATACTTTGTACCCTCCGGAATCCGGATGGATCCTTCCGGACCATGATGTTTCTCTTTCTCGTGTTTTTTTTTTTTTTCTGATCACATGTATATAAACATATGCTCCAGAAGGATGCTTTCGGAGACAAGGCATTCAAATGAATCCTTCCAGACATGGTCAATACAGGGTTTTTGGGAGGTCCTTTGAGAAATAGATGGGGGGATTGAGAACTTCCCTGCCATAATAAGTTATCAAAACACAAAATCATAATAATTCTAACCCTCTGGTATAGCCAACCTCAGCAGCTCTCCTGAGGCAAGCCTATTTTTGCACGGAGGAAGATTTATATTTTACATACTTGAATGTTTTCTTAAACAAAATATGAGAACTTTAAAATCGCCAAACAGAACCAATGGTTTTAGCAGTAGGTGCCAGCTGAAGAACTGCAAAACAAGGTGGACTGACCCACCAAAACTCTCTTGCTCCTTGCAAGAAAAGAAAATGAAGAGCAAAGATGCACACAAATACAGCAAGCTTTTCTTTTAATTCATTAGCATTACTTTTTTTTAGAGACTGTCACAACTTACTTTGTTGGGCCTGAGACTTTATACTTGTGAATAGGCAAGGCATTTATCTCTTCCTCAGTCATTGAAGGAGTACTAGAAGCAGTATCAGAGTCTAAAGCTCTCAAAGTGTCATAATCTGCCACAAAATGAGCAAAACAATAAAGCACAATAAGCTTTCATCTGTTTTGGTATCTCCTAATCAATATCCAGTCCAAAAATAAAATACCTAGTGATTTTCCTTCCATTTCCCTATGTATTCAATAACTGTCTAACAAAATAACTGCTTCCTAATACATAACTGCTGCCTAATAATACAATAGCTGCAGTTTAATAGTATAATAACCATACTAATAAGAGGTCTAACAAATACACGTCCAAAAGTGAAACGCAGAAGCATAATACCTAGATCATCAAATTCTCGGTCCAGAAGTGCGAGCTGAAGTCTAAGTCCCTGCAATCTTCCTCTACTTGCAATTGCAATAGATGGTGGCATTTGAAAATGTAATTCAGCATGGCCAAGCAACCCAGACGCTGCTGCAGCATGAGCCCTGGCTTGTGCTTGAAGCTGTTGACATGTTGCATATATTCTCAGACTTGTAGCCATCACGAAGATAGCCAGTACTATCCAGAGCTGAAAAGGAAAGGGTTAACCATTACTTTTGTAATTTCATGAAGAGAGCTAGTAAGAAAACTAGTAGCATGCATATATACATTATATTTTAAGTGATTACTTACCAAAAAATAATGTGACATCTGAGGGGAGTTTAATATCATGAATACCAAAATAACTGCCCAATAAGTATGAGTAAGTCAAATAGCGATTAACATTCTACATATATGAAGCAGAAAAGCATAGGGTCTTGTTTGAATAAACAGCTAATTTAAGTGCATATCGCATAAGCACTTATCATATAAATGTTATGTATAAGCTACTTCTATGACTAAAAATAAGATAAAGTCAAATTGTTCCTATACAAGCTATAAGTTGTTTTCACAAGCTATTTGATGGAACCTCACAAAAATTAAAATAATCGCACAGAAAATAGATAAATGAGATATTGTTTATTGACAAAATTTGATGAAAAAGAGTAGTTACAGTTAATAGGAAACCAGAACAATGCTCCTACCAGACAAAATATTCTCCTAACTCATTCGTAATAATAAACGTGCGTACCGATTCTACAATACCCTTCACCCTATATCCCTCTCTGCTAACAGAAATTCCAAGATTTCAACGACATTCCCAGCCATATCACTAACTAACCGATTCTTCTCTTTTTTAGCCTTCTAGACATGACTCTCCACGCCTCTTGTTTGGGCCTCTCACTAGCATTAGGCCAAATAGTCCTATCATTATCCTATAAAATTTATGAAAATAAGCTGAGAACACCTTATGGACATATCAACCTTGGTTTCCATAAACTCTCTCAAACAATCTTATAAGTACTTAGGTCAGTCAATAGTTAAACTCAAATAAGTCAATACAAATAGACTTTAGATACATAAGATAATAGCTTACCCGTAATAAGAAAAGCTAGAGAGTTGCTATGAGCCGACCGAGATGGATGAACTCGCTGAGGCAAAATAGAGTATCATAAGAATTACAATACAATTTAATCATATCTGAGGTTATGAGAAAAAAGTAGCACATTGCACAAAGACTAACACCAACACATAAAAACAACAACGATTACGCATACCATTGAGGTTCTTTCAGGAACATATTCTGAAAATCCGCTTTCAATATCACCCCGACTCCCTCGAAAAGCAAAACTCATGACTGCAACGAAACTCGTTCAACCGACAATCGACGACGACAACAACAACACAATCTGCAGTTATTATTTCTTCAATTAAGCAATTAACATAGAGAATCCCAAATTAATGAACAAATTATGAAAAAATCAATAAGCACTCGTCCATTCAAGGAACAAACAAAGCAAATAAACAGAATTCAAACATGCATTTATGTGAATAGTTAACGGCAAAAGGTACAGTACGAAAACAACGACAATAAAGCTAAGAAAACGACGCTTTTCAGTAGGGAGTTGAAAATACTTACACGAAAAATGGGTTGTAGCTGAAAATGGAAAAGGAGTTGTAGACTTGAAGTGTACTGAAGGTGTTGGTTTGGTAGTTTCTACGTTGTTCGTGTGGTGTAATGCGGTGGGGTACTGTGTGTCGGACATTGATTAAAAATTCTAAATAAGAAAAATATTAGATGTTTAATTCATTTAATACACACAAAATTATTTTAAAAAGTTATTAGTATATTAAATACACATATTTTAAAAAAAGACATATTTTTAATTTCTTAAAAAATGTTTAACTTATCTTTTTAATCTCTTAACTAATATTCGGGGCACTCATTAACATTTCTCCATAATCTCTTAAAAAATATTCAATTTATCTTTTTAATCTCTTAATTAATGTCTGGAGCACTCATTAACATTTCCCCATATATATATATATATATATATATATATATATATATATATATATATATATATATATATATATATATATATATATATATATATATATATATATATATATATATATATATATATATATATATATATATATATATATATATATATATATATATATATATATATATATATATATATATATATATATATATATATATATATATATATATATATATATATATATGGGAAAATGTTAATGAGTGCTCCGGACATTAGTTAAGAGATTAAAAAGATAAATTAAATATTTTTTAAGAGATTAAGGAGAAATGTTATATATATATATATATATATATATATATATAACATTTCTCCTTAATCTCTTAAAAAATATTTAATTTATCTTTTTAATCTCTTAACTAATGTCCGGAGCACTCATTAACATTTTCCCATATATATATATATATATATATATATATATATATATATATATATATATATATATATATATATATATATATATATATATATATATATATATATATATATATATATATATATATATATATATATATATATATATATATATATATATATATATATATATATATATATATATATATATATATATATATATATATATATATATATATATATATATATATATATATATATATATATATATATATATATATATATATATATATATATATATATATGTGTGTGTGTGTATATATATATATATATATATATATATATATATATATATATATATATATATATATATATATATATATATATATATATATATATATATATATATATATATATATATATATATATATATATATATATATATATATATATATATATATACACACACACACATATATATATATATATATATATATATATATATATATATATATATATATATATATATATATATATATATATATATATATATATATATATAGTTAGGATATTCCGCTGATTGTTATTATTGACATGTGTGCAACACATTCTTTTATTTCGCTTGATTGAGTTGAGAAGTTGGATTTAAGGTTGTCTGATATGGTTGACATATGGTTATTGATACCGCAGCTAATGGTTTGATGACTACTTTATGGGTGTGTTTGAATTGTCCACTGACTATTATGGTAAGAGTTTTGGGATCGACTTAGTCTATCTATCGTTGAATCAACTCAATGTTATCCTTGAAATGAATTGGTTAGAGCTCAATCATGTTAATATCACTGTTTCGACAAGTCAGTGTCATTTCTAGAATTCGTTGCAAGTGACGAGTTGTTTGTGTCCGCTAAGCAAGTGGTTGAGTTTAGGCAGAATGATGCTAACGTGTTTATGGTATCAGCTTATATGAAGGCAGAAAACAAAGTTGTGTTTTGTGAATTATGGTGTGCGGTTTTCCATAAGTATTTCTAGAGGTTGAGTTCACCATAGACTTGGTATCTGATATTAGTCCTGTGTCGATGGCTCCTTATAGGATGTCTGCTTAAGAGTTGAGTGAGCTGAAGAAACAGTTGGAAAAGTTGCTTAAGAAGAAGTTTGTTCGACTGAGTGCTTCGTCATGGGGAGCATCGGTGTTGTTAGTCAAGAAGAAATATGGTAGTATGAGGTTGTGCGTTGACTATCAACAACAGAATAAAGTGACTATCAAGAAAAAGGATCCTCTTCCGAGAGTTGACGATTTGCATTCGGGTTATCTTCATATTTGTGTGAAACCATAAGACATTTTGAAGACTGCATTCAGGACGAGATATGGTCATTATCAGTACTCAGTAATGTCGTTTGGAGTGTCTAATGCGCCAGGTGTGTTTATGGAATATTTGAATAGGATTTTCCATCATTATTTAGATCTGTTTGTGGTTGTGTTCATCGACGACGTTTTGATATATTCTATGTTTGTGAAGAACATGTGGAGCATCTGAAAGTTGTGATGCAGAATTTGCAAGAAAAGAAGTTGTATGTGAAATTATCCAAGTGTGTGTTTTGGTTGCGAGAGGTGAGTTTTCTCATGCATGTAATTTCTAGTGGTGGTATTGTTGTCGATCCATCAAAGATAGATGAAGTGTTGCAGTGGGAGACTTTAAAGTTTGTTACAAATATCAGAAGTTTTTGGATTTTGGCTGGTTATTATAAGAGGTTTATTAAAGGCTTTTCAAAGTTGGTGTTGCCTTTGACTCAGTTGACTTGAAAGGTTCAAACCTATATTTGGGATGTGTAGTATGGGGAGAGTTCTCAGGAACTCAAGAGAAAGTTGACGTCTACTCCAAATTTAAATTTTCCAAGTCCAAGTGAATCCTTTGTCTTAGATTGTGATGCTTTGAAGATGGCTCTAGGTGGTGTTTTGATGCATAATGGTCATGTTGTGGCTTATGCTTCTAGACAGCTGAAAGTTCATGAGAAGAATTATCCTACGCATGATCTGGAGTTGGCAATCATGGTGTTTGTGTTAAAAAAATTTAGGCATTATTTGTTTATTTCCATATTTGAAATGTTTAGTGACCACAAGAGTTTGAAATACTTGTTCTATCAGAAATAGTTAAGTATGAGGCACAAGAAGTGGCTTGAATTTATGAAGGATTGTGATTTTGCTTTGAGTTAGCATCCCGGTAAGGTGAATATTGTAGTTGATGCTTTGATAACAAAGTCGTTGCATATATCAATGTTTATGGTTCGAGAATTAGAGTTAATCGAGCGATTCAGATATTTGAGTCTGTTGTGTGAAAGGACTTTTAACAGTGGGAAGTTAGGTGTGTTGAAACTGACTAGTGGTATTCTGAAGAGATCAGAGAAGGTCAGAAATCGGATTCGGTATTGGTTGACCGGCTAGTGATAATCAGTAATGATAAAGGAGGTGATTTCAGAATAGATGAGAATGGTGTTATGCATTTCTCTGACATAGTTTGTGTACCTGATGTGCCAGAACTTAAGAAGAGTATTCTTGAAAAAGGTCACAGATGTAGTATGGGTATTCATCCCGGTGCTACTAAAATGTATCAAGACTTGAAGAAAATGTTTTGGTGGCCATGAATGAAGAAGGATATAGCCAAGTTTGTTTATGCGTGTTTAACTTGCCAAAAATCGAAGATTGAACATCAGAAATTATTGGGTTTAATGCAACCATTGGATATTCCTCAATGGAAGTGGGATGGTATTTCCATGGATTTTATGATGAGTTTTCCTAAGACTTCTAAAGGGAATGGTTCCATCTGGGTTATCGTTAATAGACTGACTAAATCGGTTTGTTTCATTTTGAATAAGATCAGTTATTCTCTACATATGTTGCCCAAGTTGTATATTGAGAAGGTCGTTAGCTTGCATGGTATTCCTTCGAGTATTATTTTGGATAGATACCTGAGATTCACAACGAGGTTTAGTTAGAGTTTGAAAAAAGCATTGGGTACTAAGATGAAGAGGACTATCCAATCATTGGAGGGTCTGTTAAGGCCTTGTGTGTTAGAACAAGAAGATGGTTAGGATAACTATTTTTCATTGGTTGAGTTCAGCTACAACAAGAGTTTCCATTCTAGTGTTGAATGGCATCGTTCGAGGCTTTGTATGGTAGAAGGTGTATGACACCTTTATGTTGGTATAAATATGGTGAAAGTGTTGTGTTTAGACCTGAGATTGTAACACCCCAAAATTTGATTAATATATTTAATCGAATTATTTGTGTTTTTATTTAATTATTTATTATGGTGTGTTAATTAAATATATTATGACTTGTATGTGTATGTGGGGTGTGGTGGGGTGTAAAGAGAGTATTGGTGGGTTGAATAATTAAGTTAATTGGAAATAATTAAAATTATTAATTTTGTAATTAATTAATTTAAATAAATATAAAATATAGGTTTTGGATAGAAATTAAGAACTAAGGAGAAATAAGGAAAGTGGTGAACATTTTAAAAAGATTTGAACCTTAGTTTAATTAACAGAAGTTTAAATTAGGTTTAGAGATAAATATAGGTTGGTAGAGCTTTGGAAAGGTTATTAGGTGAAATATAGGTTAGGTGTGTGTTTCTCTACCTTTGCATTCTTTACACTTGATACTCTTGTTTCTTTTTTTGAGGGATTACTTCAGCAGTGGGCACTGTCGCTACTGCGAAAATCGGCGCCGGCTGACAGAAGAGTCGCCACCGTGCGTTATTTATCCCAAAGGAGGGAAAGGAAACGCTCAAAGTAAACCTCGCAAAAAACGGGAAAAGGTATGGTCATCGCAACCAAAACCTGGGTTCGGGAGTCGGTTACGCAAGGGGAAGGTATTAGCACCCCTCACGTCTGTCGTACTCGACGGGATCCACGCTTGCTTGGGTTGTCTAAAGGAT